TTCTTTCAGTTTTCTTATTATTTATCAAATTATTTATCCCACTCTTATTTGTTTGTTTCCCCCTGCTTATTTTTTCCCTTTTATTATTATTATTTTGCTATGTTTTCCCTTTGCTTCCTGTTTCTCCTTGTCCCACTCAATGGGAGACAAAAAGTATGTCCTTACAGCCCAGCCTCACCCATACCTCTTGGTAAGTGCCTACTACCTACTGGGTAAGAGCCACTGTCCCTTTCTGTAGCACTGTCCCTTTCTGTAGCACCATTCCTCCTCTATATTACATGTACAACTCACAGAGAGATGTGCACACACTCCCATCCTTTGTCACACTTACCAGGAGACTGTTGGTGAATACCTAAGAACACACAAACACACAATCATCAATTTCATACAAATACAACTCCCAGAACGTCTCAGAGACAACAGACAATTTCAGTTTCCATACAGAAATGAGATAGAGTGGCTTAAATAAGAACTCAAAACAGAACCAGAAATCCTTTCTGAGGAGAAATGGCACAGGAACTACCCGATAAGGAACTCACAGGAATGGTATTTAGGTACTGTGATAGGTAGGCTTTGTGTCAACTTGGCTGGGCCAAGTTTCCTATAGTTTGGAAGTTGACTCCTCCCTCATGAGGTGATCTAACAAAATATAATCACCTCCACAGTGGGATCTGCTAGGAGCAGCCAAGCACTTGTGGGAAGATTAGGGTGGAGTGTAAACCCTTATACAGTTTACAGCTCTAATGATGTTTGCTTGGGATGTGTGACCTACTTTATATATAAGTAGATACTGTGGAGAGCTTCTTCATTTCTTTTTGGTCTGCCTCCTGCATTTGGTTCATTGATCTCTAGTATTTTGGACCTAAACCAATGGCCTGCTGTATTATCTGTAGAGCCTAGAAGCCTGTGTTAGTCTGGGTAGACTACAGAAACAAATTCATAGACACTTAGATGTGTGTAAGAAAGAGCTTTATATAAAGAGTAATTGTACATTAAGAAAACACCCTAGCCCAGTCCAGATCAAGTCCATAAGTCTGATATTAGCCCATATGTCCAATACCAATCTATAAATTCCTCTTCAGACTCATGAGACACATGCAATGATGCCAAATGCAGGAAGATCACAGGCCAGTGGGTGGGAAGTCTTGTGGGTCCATTGGGGGTGTCAATATCTCAGTGTTGGCCTCGGTCAAGGGCTCTGGCTGCCCTCAGCATAGCTCCCTGTGTCTTGTCTGTAGAGAGTCTCTCAGGGAGTGAGCCTGCTTCCTGTCTCCAGGAGCTATTTACCTCCTTAGCTGCCTTCGAATGAGGTCATCAAGCTATGACCTGATTGAGAGATAAATTCCACCCCTTCACTCGGAAGCCTCAAACTGACAACAGATTATGTAACTACCACAAAGCCGTCAGAGCTTGCCATTTGACCTACAGACCATGGATTCCTCCACCTCTGCGTCCACCACCTGTGATCTTCCTGCTTCCGGCTTCAGCTCTCTGCTTCCCTGTTCATTAGACACCACGAGCGATGGGAATTAAGAAAAACTTCCAGCTTAACTTCTGAACAATGGTTTTTGAACTGGACTAGTTTTACTCATGTCTACAACTGTGTGAGCAATTCCCTTGTTATAAATTTCATATATTTAATAAAAATTTGTATAGCGATAGTTATACAAAATTAAAATTTCACACATATATAAACATCTATATGTGTGTGTGTGTGTATATATATATATATATACAAACCAGTGAATATATATATATACATCAGCGAATATATATATATATATTCACTAGTTTTGTATCTCTTGAGAACCCAGCCTAACACAGGGTGTCTCCAGCATTCCAAAATCTGACTGAGTAGCCTTATAGTCATGCATCATCTTTCTTCAAACTAGAGATCAAAGGGGTTTTCATAATCCAGAGTGCCAGTATGGGAGCCTCATTAGTTCCTGTCTTTCTAAATGGTTGCTGCACCCAGGGGTCCATTAAAAGGAGTTTCTGTTAACTCCTTGAGTGGTTAAATGGAAGGGCCAAGCAAATACCCTACAGTTAAGGATTAAAATTACATAAAATCCCATCATCCCAAAGCTGTATGAGGTTTCTGGATGGTCTCTGTGCATTCTGCAGGTCTCCGTGCATTCTGGCAGAAGTTTGTGTTGTCCTTGAATCAATAATCTTAGACGTTGAACTTTCATCTGACTGGCTTGTGGTTTCCCCAATGACACTCAACATCCTGCTTCAGTCAGTCAGACAAGAAGATGCACAGTTTGTGATTCTGCTGAGTGTCTTCAAGTTCGGAACAAGTTGGTACTCATCAGTCATTGCCTTCTTAGCCAGCAGGACAAGGGTGCTGAAAGGAGACTCACATTGTCATTATAAGCTCCGCTCTGTGTGTTAATCGATTAGTCTTTTTAGTCATTTTCAAGCTTTGAGTCATACTGAGTGCTGTTTGATGGGAGGAGGGAAGGCTTGGTGCAAGTGTTCCTCAATGATAGGAGTTACTGTCTTGACTCACCTGAGCTAGCCACTGGCCCCCATCCAGAGAAATACAGTGTCGATTATGCTTTAGACTGCTTCTGCCTGTGGAGCGTGGCAGGGACTGCAATGGTAGGAACTAGAAGGGCAGCTTGTAGTTTCTGAGTGCTTTACCCTAGAACTTTCAAGACCATTCCTTGGTTATGAAAAATCGTTTCTGCATGGAATATTTTTAATATTTTAAATATTTTTGATATTTAAATATTAAATATTTAAATATTTTAAATATTTCTCCAAAAATCTAAACCAAGTCAGACTCACTCCCATCATGTCTCTTCTGACTCCGTAGAGATTGTATAGACCAAATCAGAACTGCTCCATATGGGTTCCTGAGACTAACAATTTAGGGGAGAAGAAAGCCTCATCTTTCCCACATGGAGTGGCTGGTAGTTTTGTACCTTTGACCTTGTGGCTAGCAGTCCAATGTGTAACCCACTATACCACCAGGGTTCCAGCTCCCGAACAGAGGCAGTGGATAAAAGACTTAAACAAAAACTGGTGTAACCTGGCTGCTTCCCCTAATTCACAATCCACGGACTGCAGAAATGACAGGACTCCTCTTTTCTGGTAATCTCTATCACCCGAGTCTCTCTGGAAGTGTTTGAACCGGAATGATAGTGAGATGAAATGAAATGAACTGCTGTGGTTCTATACATTTTCCTCCCACCATTAAGTTAAACACGGGGTCAGTAGGGAGGACAGCAATTACTTTATCATATACCCCACTGCCATGTTCATTCACCCTTCACTATTCCTTAAAACTCACCTTCTTGATTTCTTGAACTTTCCAACCTTGTCTGACTATCTCCTTTCTTTGAGTACTAATTCTTTTATTGCTTGTTTTCTTCCTACAAAGGGTACACTGATTTATGCCCCTCAATTGAGGTCTCTCTTTCCATCTTTGTCTCCCTCCCTCCCTTCATCCCTCCCCTTGCCTCCTGCCCAGACCATCTTGGTGCCTTCTTCCTGGACCATTAAGAGCAACGGCCTGGAGAGCAACTCCATATTCTGACACTTCTTTTTCTTGGCTAGCTGGTCTCTATCGGTGTAAGCTTTGTAAGCTATCTCAGTCAATTGTGAAGCTGACTGCATCCATCCAACCCGAATGCCTTTTCTTGAATGCCTGGGTACACTGGCCAGTAAAACTATGTTAACAAGAGGGACATTCTGTTCTCCTTCTGGATCTATAGATAGATCTCCAGAACCCTGAGATTAATCAGTCAAGAACAATAGAGGGATATTCTTCCGAGTCTTGAAAGATTTCTTTAATTTTGTTAAAGTTTATTGTTGAGGTGCTCCATGCTTAAGTCCATGAAAGACAAGTTCATAGTAAGCAGTTAAATGTCGCCACCTACCATGATATTTTGCCCCAACTGGGCTCTTAGCTGGAATGGTGTCTGTTTTGCAGGTTCCGTTAACTACTTCATTCTCATTATATTTTACTTTCTTCCTTTTTTTCTTTTCCTTCCTTCCTTCCTTCCTTCCTTTCATTCATTCATTCATTCTTTGACAGGATCATGTCTTTCCCCCACTATAAGGAGAGCATTTAGTAAGGCATGACAATAAGCCAAGTTTGGGTGATGGATAGCAAAACAATTTTTTTAAATGTTCAATCAGAAACAAAAGAAACAGAAAGGGATTTTATTGCCTACACAAACAAGGAGCAGCATGGGGGTCACCTGACCAAAATGCCACGTAAGCCCTGAATTTGGGGCCACTTGGGTCCTTTCTTCTGACTTCTAAGATTCTGCCTCTTTTCGGACCCTCTCTCCTCCTCAACCTGCCCTTTGCCATAAACAGAGGTCTGGCTGGTGAGTCATGTTCTAATGGATCTTCTCTGATTGAGAAAAAGACTAGGGTCACAAATGGAAGCTTTAGATAAGAGAAGGGGGAGTCACACAGTATCCAGTTGGTGGGGTCGGTGCAGGGGGAGTAAGGGGAGATGAGTCATAGACAAGGGGATTTCTCTCTTAGAGTTTCAGCATTACATGGTGTTGATTCACACTAACGCTATAGGTCCCAGTAGAACTGCCACGTTGGGTTTTCAAGGCTATAATCTTCCAGGAGCAGAAAGCCTCGTCTATCCCCTGCAGCCAAGCTGGTGGATTCACACCCCGATGTTGCAGTTAGCTGTCCAATGGCCTCCAGGACTCAACTTGACTTGATGGCCGCAGGTTGGGGAGTGGTTCACCTGCATTACCCTGAAATTCAGGTTTTCACGTTCTTTTAAATCTAGAGCCACACTGCTGATTTCATCGGATTTCTCAATCATTTCTTACAAAACTGTTTGCCAGGTCAATTTCCATGCTAGTGTTTAGGGAGATTTTTGTAACACATGCTTTTTTGTTTGCCTTCCTCCAGACATGAGTCCCTTTACTAGAAATATCTTCTCTGTTCATTTCAGGTTTTGTTCTTAAATGCCTTGTTAAGCTCAAACATCTTTTCATCTTTTAAAAAATCTTTTTCATTAGGGGAGAGCATGAATGTAGTACCCCACTACCACAAGTTATGCAGTGGAGTTTCCCATATTGGGGGAAATCTCAGGGGTTAGCACATCCAGAATGCAATGGATAAGCCTTGTCCTGGGCAGATCACTTTCATGATCATGGTATCTCCCCTGCCAGGTAAGTATCAAACAGCTTTCCTGATAACTCTAATGGATATACTATTCCTGTTCTCTAAAACCTCATGCATTTGTGTCAGTATGCACATGCGTGTATGTGTGTGCCATTCTTATCTAGTACTTCCAAATCTACATGGGTGAAATGTCCCTTACTACATATAACTCAACTCATGGCCATTGAGTTAATGCCGACTCATAGAAAACCCCTGTGGGTTTACAAGAGTAGAAAGGCGAGTCTTTCTGTGGAGAAGCTGCGGGCGGTTTGGAACTGACTACCATTAGGATCACATCCCAACTTGTAACCGTTACACCACTAAGGTTCCATGTACAGTGAACCCTCGCCACTTCGCGCTTCGACTTCCGTGGCTTCACTTTATCGGCGGTTTTTGCGTAACAGCGCATGCTCTGTCA